GCTACCCAAATCATTGTCATTTCTATCTATCACCTTCGGTAGAGTTTTAGGTGGACTGCAAAGCACCAGGAAAAAATTCATCCTTCCTCAATTCTAATATAATATATATATTTTTTACTTCTGAGCCCATGGCATGAAGCCTTTGTGTTGAATTTACCTCTAAATCATATATTTACTCTACAAATCGAATTTTCTTTTCTTGCAATCTAGAAGAACCATGGGTCCTTGACATATGCATTCATGTCCAGAGGTCTAATTGTAAGCCAAATCTGGGCTTGATAGTTCCACTTTGACCATCACTGGCATGCACAATGGAGTACAAAATATCAATTAGTATCTTCTAATGAGGCCACCATTCTCATTACAAAATCAATAGGTTTCTCTACTTATATAAGTTAACAGAACCCATTCTCCAAACTCTACGTTAGTAATGATATCTGGAGGAAATTATTTGAACTTTAAGCTAGATCAAGAGGCTGAATGACCCTCTTTATATCTCATGGTTTTCTCCCTTCATATTGAAATTTGTTCATTTAAAAAAACACATATCACTTGTGTTGACTTAAAAAACACATATCAACTTGGATTTCAATATTATTATCATTGACTTTGTAGCTATGTACATCTTTCCCCACTTGAAAGAATATTACAATTGCTTTGAAACTTTTGCCAGGACTCTTCTTGCTTCGCCAGGTTGCAGAATTTAGAGAACGATGGACATATTGGAATTTGATTGAGAATCTCACTTTTTGATATACCAAGTGTATAAAGTTTTTTATTGCTGCCTCTTATTACTAATGGGTTTTTTCCCAACAAATTATTCAGTAACCAACCATAAAAGTACAATCCAAAATTCAACATTTATAAATATTCAAATCCATATATACCTCATATGAATTACAGAAAAATAATCAGGAAAGGGGATAAAGAAATAGCTGAATTTCATTCACTCAAGTAAACCCAAACATAATACTTCAAATTTATAGTACTCTAAAGGCACAATGACAGAAAGATAATCAGGAAAAGGGATAAAGAAATAGCTGAACTTCATTCAGTCAAGTAAACCCAAACATAATACTTCAAATTTATAGTCTAAAGGCACAATGACAGAAAGAGCGCATAGATATCCTAGAAAATTACCTTCACAGATTTCGAACTCATCATCATCTTCAAATAGATCGATGTTTGGGTCTTCAAGACCGTTCACTACCCGCCGTAAAACGCATAAAGATGCAGTCCCATTTCAAGTTTAAAGCTAAAATCACAAATAAATCAACGAAAAACATATACATACCACTTCAAAATTCATCAAACTCCAACTTTCTTGAACCAGACAAAACAGATACGACGTCAAAAAGAAAGAAATCG